CATAAGATAAAAAAAATTCAATTATTTTAAAGTTTTATCCCAGTCGGTATAGGAAATTTCTTAATTCGGTACAAAAAATGTAATACCTATCTATATATATTATATAGTACGTTTATTGTATGAGGAAAAGTTCACAGGTGTCTCATCCATGGAGAAATTTCTTATTTATATTATTTAACTAGTGTAATAATGCTTGTAAAAAAAACTAGTATAATAATAATGTGCGATGTTGTACTAGTATTAGATTTATAATTTTTACAGTACCATTTTTTAATTTATATATATATATATAAATTATAACAGTATATATTATTATATATGCATATAAATATTTGCAATAGATATTATTATTATTAAATATGTATATAAATAATTATTGACTTGAAATATGTTTAAATAAAATTATATTCATAAATGTCTATTAAAAAGTATTGGCTTAAAATTAAAAATAGAGGTACGCCACCAAAAAGAAAAATAGATAAAGAGGAGGAGTGAGGGAAAATGAGGATGAATGAGTAAGTCCTATTTAACTTACTCGTTTAATAATTTTTTTATTATAAATAATGAATTTTATTGATGCAAATATTCCACTTTATTGATAACTTTTATTTTAACGTAGTATTAATGCAAAAATATCTTTTAGTATCGTTTTTGTACATTGATTTAGCAATATAGAAAGTGACGTAATTTATATTTTAAATTTTTTGCAATTTGAAGCAAGTGTTTACAGGCGTTGTAAAATAAATGTAATATGTGTTTGAGAAATTATTTTGGTTGTGAGGGTTGTGGCCTGTGGGGGAGGACAGAAGAGGAGGAAAAGTATTGGGAAAAACTCAAGTCGAGATTAGGCAATTGAATGGTATATAAGTGGAAAGCAACCCTCACCTTACAAACCGGTTTTGTAAGGTTGAGTTAGGCTTAATCCACTATTCTAACATGGTATCAGAGCCATTTAGATCCACTTTAAAAATGGGCCACAAGTGGCGCCAATCCTAGATCATTAAAAAGGGTCACCCACCATTTATTCACGTACCAAACCCAATAATGCTAGACGTGAGGGGGTGTATGATTTTGTAAGGTTGAGTTAGGCTTAACCCACTATTCTAACAAAAAGGAAGCGTCAGAGGTGAATGTGTTATGTGACTCTCCAAATTCCTTCATTAACTTTACCACTAGAGAGATATGTGACTGTGACTGTGACTGTGTCTCTGTGCAAATGTTCTTATCTTTTGTCTTCTTTTCTAAAATATAGCCTCTCTCATGTCTTTATGTTCTATATAAGTGTTGATAAATAAGAGAGTTAATTCTTTGATACTCTCCAACTTTTTACGACTTCATTTTTTAAGCCAATTCATCAACAGTTGGTTTTAGTAGAGAGTTTATGTTTTGGCTTCTGAGTTCAGAACCCGTCTTGTAAGAGAAAAAAAAAGAGGCAGAATAGAAAAAAGGTATATTGTTGGGGGAATTAATGGGGTGGGAGAAGGTAGGTGCGAGGGGGTAGGTGCAGGGGAAGTAGGTGCTGAGGAGGAGCAAGTCATATGAAAAGGTGTCAAGAACCCACTTCTTTTTTTACATCACTTCACTAATACATATACAATATCATTTTTAACCCATATAAATTTCCTTTACTACTCATAATATAATTTTTATTTAATCAAAATTATATTACATGATATAACGGTTAGATTTGCAAATTTTTTATTTTATAAATTTTATTAAAGTCTCTACGTGTGTGTAATGAGAATCTAAATGCATGTTTTTTTTTTAATTTACTTTTAGTTTTTCCGTAAAATAAATATAATTATTTCTTTAAATAACACATATATTAAGATTTTAGAATTATCGGAGTCTCAGTGGCGGAATATAAGAATTTTATGTAGAAAATCTTAACTTCAAATTTTATTGTTGTCCTTATATTTTTGTTTTATGAATAATAAAAAAATCCAAGAACAGATCCTTTAATTTTTATTTATATAATGAAATCACAAGGCGATGTCATGAATGATTGGGGCTGGCTCCCAACTCCCAAGTTGGTGAGACGTCGTCGTAATTCATATGTTGTTAGTTTTCAGTGTTGGATCATGCACAGCATTTTATTTTCCTTTTAAAACTGCAGAAGCTTTGACCTTAATTATTTTATAATGCTAAAAGTAAAACGTGTTTAAAAAATAAACCATAGATTACAACTGTTGGAGTGCAATTTGTTAGACTTTTTTTTCTGTGCCGTGATTCAGTAATATTTAGTGATTAATATTTTTTTTAGTGTTAATAACATTGATTATGAAAATCAATATTGTATTATTTTAATTATATCAGTAGATCATTACAAGAAATGTTACATATAATGACATACAAACAATGTTACTATAGATACAATAATATAAGTATATATCTATTTGACATATAACTACTTACAATTTTAGTATTAATTTTAAATAAAATTTAACAACATATTTTATATATCATTACAATTTATATCACATTTTTTAACAATATATCAACATATATTATATTTATTATGTGTTTAAAAGTAATTTTTATTAACACGTATTATATTATTATAAGATGTATGTCACTATATAATAATTTTCTTGTTGTGGAAGTTCGATATAAAACTTTTGATACAAATGATTTGTAATGAATTGAATTATTAACTTAGCATATTCAGTTAGGTATTCTAATAACATATCAAATGTTATTTAAATTCTTTAAATAAGCAACCCACGTGGATTTATATATGTCACTTGAATTTTAAATAATTTATTTAATTTTTATATTAATGCAAGTTTTTAACAAAAAAAAATTGCTTAATTTACAAATGTGTTTTCTCTTTCTTTAATATATCATATTATATTTGTTATGTGTACATACAAATGTTAAACAATAATTAATTAGGTTTAATTTAAAGAAATTCAAAATCACATGTCACATATCAAAATATCATTTTCTTGTTAAAAAACTCATTAACAACTCAACTCCTATTAGATGCTCTAACTCTTATATGAATTTATATGAGTATTTTTTTATAGTTTTTTTTTTTCAATAAAAGTATATTTAAGAGGCTTTTCTTAACTTTTTTTAATTTATCATTTTATTTTTATTTCTAAATTCCATTTCAATAATTTTTTTAAAAAAATATTAATAGTTAAAAATAGTATTATATGAGTGTATGTAACAAAATTTTACAATTTTTGATATTTTTTTGTATAACTAGAAAATATAACTTTTTATTAAGTCAACTAATTTTACTAGCAGCCTTAATCTAATAAATTGTAATTGTTGAAAAAACAATATACAAGAGACTAGATCCAAATGCTGGTATGGAAAAATAAATTATCTCATTTTAAGAATAAATTAATTTTTTTTAAATAAATTTTAACTTATAATAAATAGTACATTATTTTAAAATGTGTTAGAATTTCATCATGTTGTTAATATTTCACATGCTTAATATAGAGTCTATGCATTAGTAAAATTTGGCTATTTAACATCATATATATTTAAGTTAGTTATTTTTTGAATCAGCTTAAAAATTTACACAATGATAATTTTATAATTATTGCATCATTTTCTAAATTGACCATAAAAAGATAAACATTAATCATCAGATACTACGTGGTTTCTCATAATAATCGATATATATAGTAATGTATTAAAAGATTCCCTTTTGTGATACCGAATCCCTTACTCTCAATCTCCCCCCTCTCTTTCGTGCTAAACTGTCATCTTCCTCTCATGAGTTTCACCTTGTCATTGCTTTCTTCCTGAAAACTCCAAGAACTTCATATTCTCCATCTCTCAAACATTCCCTATCTCGTGCTATGCTTCACTCTGCAACCATTCACCTGTATGCTTGTTTCTCACTCACTTTTCACATAGTTATTAAATTTATTTTCTAAAAATAATGTTTTCCACGTTCATTATTTTATACATATAATCTAATACCATAATTCATGTTCTATATCTTATTATTTCAACAATCTAATTCTTTAAGGCTTTAACTAAAAAAATTTAATACATAGATCAAGTGTGCAAATTTTTAAAAAATTTAAAAACTATTTAATACTTCATTTCATTAATTTAAATTAAAGTATAAAATATTTTCATGGTTATCCATCAATTTATATTAACGAAATGGAGTATTAAATATTTTATAAAAAAAATTATGATCTTAATTTATACATTAATTTTTTTTAATTCAACAATTAAATTGTTAAAATTACATGTAAAATAAAAATTATTGAGTGTAATAAATGAATATATATATATATATATATATATATATATATGTGTGTATATATATATATAATATTTGGCTTAAAATTGTTTTTGTCCCTTAAATTTAAAATTATTATTTTTAATTATTGTAATTTAAAGAAAATCTTATTTTAGTCCTTATATTCAAATTTTGTTAAAAATTTTATCAAACATTATTATATAAAATCTGTTTATTAATATTTATGTTAATAAAAATATCACATTAAATTCAATTGATATTAAATAACCATCTTAATTTGTCATTTTTAGATATATTATTGGTAATCTGAGGGACTAAAACAAGAATTTTAAAAATTACATAAACTAAAAATAAGAATTTTAAATTTAAATAACTAAAAATAAATTGATTTTAAATTTTAGAAATTAAAAATATATTTAAGCCATAATATTTTTATCTTTTATGGTTGTTGGGATGTCCAACAATTTATTTTAATGTAAATAATAGTTTAATGATAATAGTTAAGAAATGTAAAAATAAGCATATTTGTTTGGCGTCAACGTCATGAAAAACATGACAAGCCAGTCGGCAGTCTCCTGGCCCCCATACCCATACTTGGCAAAAACAAAACCCCACCGAATTGTCTCGTGACTTGGAATTAACTTGCACAGCATTCATACCTTTTAAACCTAAACCCCACAAATTCCACGTTTTCATTTACGTCCATTTCATTTTCCATGACATCACTCTCCCCTCCCTCATATCATATCCAACCCCCACACACTTCCTACGCCTCAAATGTAAATCCTTTAAATTTAAAGCCCTTAACTTCCTTATTCCATATCTCATACTTAATTTGCACACCAACCCTATCAATACCTATAGCAATAGCAATAGCAATAGCAATAGCAATAGCAATGCTTAAAAACCAACAAGATTGGCCGGAGCCAGTTGTCCGGGTTCAGTCCTTATCCGAAACTTGCATAGATTCAATCCCCCAAAACTATATCAAGCCTTCTTCTCATAGGCCTTCCATAAGCCCTACAAGTTTTGATGATGCCAATTGCAACATCCCAATCATCGACCTCGGAGGCCTGTGGGGTGCCGACCAACATGTCACCGCCTCCATCCTCACCCAAATCTCTGAGGCTTGCAAAGACTGGGGGTTTTTCCAAATCACAAACCACGGTGTGAGCCCCGATTTGATGGACAAGGCCAGGGAAACTTGGCGCCAATTCTTTCACTTGCCCATGGACGTCAAGCAGCAATATGCCAACTCCCCCAAAACTTATGAAGGCTATGGAAGCAGACTTGGAGTTGAGAAAGGTGCTATTCTTGATTGGAGTGACTACTACTACCTTCACTATCTTCCCTTGTCCCTCAAGGACCATAACAAATGGCCTTCCTTGCCTCCCTCATGCAGGGAAGTCATTGAGGAGTACGGGAGAGAGTTGGTGAAGCTATGTCGCAGGTTGCTCAGGCTTTTCTCCATAAACCTTGGATTAGATGAGAAAAGCCTTGAAAATGGTTTCGGAGGGGAAGACATAGGGGCGTGTCTAAGGGTTAATTTTTACCCTAGCTGTCCACGCCCAGACCTCACTCTCGGTCTCTCATCCCACTCAGACCCCGGAGGAATGACCATGTTGCTACCGGACGATCAAGTTCCCGGTCTCCAAGTCAGGAAGTGCCATGATTGGATCACCGTCAAGCCTCAACGCCATGCTTTCATCGTCAATATCGGTGACCAAATTCAGGTCAGTTCTCTCCCAGTTATCCCTATTCCAGAATTTCCATTCTTTGGCCACGATTCATTCATCATCACAATTCACACACGCAAACATGTCCACGTGGAGGGGACACTTGTCATCTCCAATTATTACTTTTTCCCTATAACGATTCACAACTCGAAACGTCCCGGTCCCACGAATATATACTTCATTAATTTACCCTGGAATAATTAAGACACAGCTTTAATATATACTTGATTCATTTTCTTTCAAGATTGGACATCTGTCTATAATATAAAATATAAGTTTTGTTTTGGAAGTATATTTAAAAGAAGAAAATTTAAAAATAGAAACGTTTTTTTTTTATAAATTAAATTTAGTTTACACATACATTAAAAAAATAGTATGTTTTAAAAAGTTAATATGAGAGATTTTTACAAATTATTTATGTATGAATTATGAAAAATAATATTTAATTTTTTCTTTATCTTTTTTCCTCCGATAAATATATATAAGAATATGACAAATTCTATAGTACCCATCTTATTTAAGAGGGTACCGGTACAGTTTTTTATATTTTATATTTTAAATTTTTAAATTATTTAGTCATTTTATTTTTATTTTATATATTCTAATTTATTTGTAATAATATTATTATATATTTAAATAGTTTAATTTTAATAATTTTTTAAGTATATTTTTATCTTTTCACTTAAAATTTTTGAATTTCTATATTTTAATTTTAATAATTTTTTAAGTATATTTTTT